CAGCTGGCTCCACTCCCATCCCCTGAGGAAGTGCTGGATGCATTGATGAGCTGTTCTGTGTCCTTTCTGGGATGCTGAAGGCTCATGGGAATGAGACCTGTGCCCTTTCCTGGCGGCTGTCCCGGCAGAGCCCCTGCTGACAGCCGTGGCTTCCCATCTCCCAGGTGATGTCCATCCTCCTGCATGGGGACGCTGCATTTGCTGGGCAGGGCATCGTGTACGAGACGTTCCACCTGAGCGACCTGCCCTCCTACACCACGCACGGCACTGTCCACGTTGTGGTGAACAACCAGGTGAGGAGCAAAGCCCCTGTGTCCACGGGCCTCTGCAGGCTCAGCTCCGGGTGGTAACTGTCAGCAGGCAGTAGCTGTCTCCCAGCCAACATTCCTGGCGTGAGCCATAATCCTGGGATCAGCAGGGGGCATGTTAAACCCAGCTACTCCGCAGTAGCAGCCTGTGAGTCCAGCCTGGTGCAGAGGTGGTGTGATCTGATGCTTGGCGTGCGGGATCATGCAGGGCTGCTCTGTTCTGCCCCATGTAAAGCAGAGACGTTTTGCAGGGAGCAGCCCTTGCCCACGGGATGATGGCCCGGGCATAGGGACCAGGACGGGCTGCGGTGCCTGGTGTGCAGGTGGTGCTATGACGGAGCGGTGCAGCCATGGGGGAATCCCCAGTTCAGCCACAGCAGCCCCTGGCGCCTTCCTGAGCCGACCCAGGGCAGCTGCCCCGCGCCACGGCAGCTTTAACATCGATGTCCCATGAAAGAGCCGTGTTCCAAATCCTTATCCCTGTGCTGGACCTGTTCCCTCTCACCTACTGCAGATCGGCTTCACAACTGACCCCCGCATGGCTCGCTCCTCCCCGTACCCCACCGATGTCGCCCGCGTGGTGAACGCGCCCATTTTCCATGTCAATGCAGACGACCCTGAGGCCGTTGTCTATGTGTGCAACGTGGCAGCAGAGTGGCGAAGCACCTTCCATAAGGATGTGGTGGTGGATTTGGTAAGAAATGTGGCACAAGGCTTTATCCTAAAGCTGTGATTCTGCTGCAGGTGCTTGCTGGTGCCTCTCAGGGTGTTCTTCTGAAAGGTGAGATTTCTCTTCATAGAATCAGAGAATGGTTTGGGTTGGAAAGGACCTTAAGATCATCTTAATTCCAACCCGCTGACATGGGCAGGGACACCTTCCACTAGATCATGTCGCCCAAGGCCCTGTCCAACCTGGCCTTGAACACTGCCGGGGATGGAGTATTCACAACTTCTTTGGGCAACCAGTGCTCGTGCACCACCCTCACAGTGGTTCTGTGACAAGCCTCTTCAGGGCTTGTCTGACCCTTTTGACATGAGGGGAAGGAGGAGGTGGTGTAAAGGGAGGCAATGAGGCTGTGATAGCACTTGGAGATGTGACATTCTGTATGGAGCCTACTCTCACTCCTGCACTGGGTCCCTCCTCAGCTGTTTTGGACCCTTCCTAGCACAGTGACCCAGGTACCTCCGACTGCTTGTGGTGCTGTGGGTCGCAAGCAGCTGTTTTCAAAGGCTCTTTCTGTTCCTGGCAGGTTTGTTACAGGCGCAATGGTCACAACGAGATGGACGAACCCATGTTCACGCAGCCCCTGATGTACAAACAAATCCGGAAGCAGAAGCCGGTGCTGCAGAAATATGCAGAGCTGCTGATTTCCCAGGGGGTGGTAAATCAGCCGGAGTACGAGGTACTGTCCTGTGGGGCCCGGGAGGAAAACTGCGGGTGGCATCTCCAGGAACACTGTGTGTTTGGTACAGACCTTCGTGAGAATGATGTGATGGGGCCCATTTCTGCTTGTACTTGTCACCTAAAGGTGGCAGAGCTGTGCTAGGCTTGGGCGAGCGCTGCAGAGCTGGCAGTGACAGGGTTAGAAGCCGAGGCTCGTCCTTGGACTGTGCCAGCTCTGAACAGCACAGGAACATCTAGTTCAAGGACTGCCCCGTGATCAGTGCAGCACAGGCCATGCGGCGCTGGGCTGCTGCGGCACAGCAGGGACCCATGGGACAGTTGGGCTCTTCAGCACTCGGGCTCACTGTGGCCTGGGACATTCTGGTGCAGGTCCCTCTGGCAGCAAGTGCAGCAGCAGCTCTGCCAGCTTCTCCTTCAACTGGTTGAATAATCCTTAGGGTTGAATAAAAGTTGTCAGTTTGGACCGCAGCAGAGCTGTCCCTTGGGGCACAGGGTCCTCCAGCACCAGCTTTGCTCTCAAAGGCTCCCCTGCTTTGGGGACCAGCGGTGCCTTCCAGCACCCCTGAAGCTCATACCAGGGCCCCCAGGCTCGGCACCCTTGTTTGGGGAGACCTTGCTAATGCTTTTCCGTCTCCTGGTTCTGCCTTTCAGGAGGAAATTGCCAAGTACGACAAGATCTGTGAGGAGGCCCATGCGAGATCCAAGGATGAAAAGATTTTGCACATCAAGCACTGGCTGGACTCGCCCTGGCCTGGTAAGTGACTAGCAACATTCTGGAGGTCCCTAGCAAAGAGCCTGGCTTCTCTAGAGCCATGCCAGCTATCCTCTAGTAAATCACCCTGGTGAGGAGTTGGGATGGTGCTCTCTGCTCCTGGTACCCTCACCCTTGCTTGAGGGTGTCCATGAGCTGAGCTTTTCACACAGAGCTGGGCATGGCTCCCACAACACTTGGGCTGCTTCTCCTCTGCAGGTTTCTTCACTCTGGATGGCCAGCCCCGGAGCATGACCTGCCCTTCCACTGGTCTGAATGAAGAGGACTTGACACACATTGGCCAAGTGGCCAGCTCGGTGCCAGTGGAGGACTTCACTATCCATGGAGGTAGGAGCTTGCAGAAGCTATGCCACACCGGGTTTTTGTTCCAGACAAGATGTGGGATAGGGGGATAGGGCTGGAAGATGGCCTGGAAGGAAGGGATGTGTTACACTGCTTTGGTATGTGTGGCTGGCAGGTCAAGGGAAGGGAAAGCGGGTAGGCTTAGACTGGACTTAAGGAAGAAGTTATTTTACAGTGAGGGTGCTGAGGCGCTGGCAGAGGGTGCCCAGAGAAGCTGTGGCTGCCCCATCCCTGGCAGTGTTCAAGGCCAGGTTGGACACAGGGGCTTGGAGCAACCTGCTGTAGTGGAAGGTGTGACCTGTGAAGGTCCCTTCCAACCAAAACCCTTCTGTGAGTCTGAGAATTAGTTCACGAGGGAGCTGTGGTTATGGGAGGTGAAGAGTAACTCTTCTTCACAGCTGATCCTGTCCCGCAGTCCCAGTTTCTCATCCCTGGTTCATCCTGTTGGCAGAGGTGGGTCTGCTCCACTGCCTCTGAGTGTTTGCAGTCTGTCAGTTCGTGGGCAGGTTATGGTGTTGCTGGAGCTCCCTCCCATCCTGGCTACAAACCAGCTTCTATCCCGGCAGGTTTGAGCCGTATTCTGAAAACCCGTGGGGAGATGGTGAAGAACCGGACGGTGGACTGGGCCCTGGCAGAGTACATGGCCTTTGGCTCCCTGCTCAAAGATGGTATCCACATCCGCCTGAGCGGCCAGGATGTGGAGAGGGGGACGTTCAGGTAAAGCCATGCTCTTGGTAAAAGCAATTCCAGCCTTACTGGAAGGGATACAAAGGGTGACAATGGAGTAATGCTTTCTCCTCCTCCAGCCATCGCCACCATGTCCTGCATGATCAGAATGTGGACAAGAGGACCTGTATCCCCATGAACCACCTCTGGCCCAACCAGGCTCCTTACACCGTCTGCAACAGCTCCCTGTCAGAGTACGGTGTCCTTGGTGAGTGAGGTCTGTGCTGGCTGCCGGGGGTGGGGTGCTCCAGGAGGATAACCCCTTGCTTCTCTCCTATCCCTCAGGGTTCGAGCTGGGCTTTGCCATGGCCAGCCCCAACGCCCTGGTGCTTTGGGAAGCCCAATTTGGGGACTTCCACAACACTGCTCAGTGCATCATCGACCAGTTCATCTGTCCTGGACAAGCCAAGTGGGTTAGGCAGAATGGCATCGTCCTGCTGCTTCCCCACGGCATGGAGGGCATGGTAAGGACCCCCCAGCTTACGGGCACCCTGGGGTGCCATTGCCTGGCTGCACCAGATGCAGAGCCAAGGGCAGCAGTGGCAGGTAGCACTGCTTGCAGCGTGGCAGTGCCCAGCACCAGGGTCTAGCACCAGCCTTGCCCCCTGCTCATCCTGTCCCCTGTTGGTCCCTGCAGGGTCCTGAGCACTCCTCCGCCCGGCCAGAGCGATTCTTGCAGATGTGCAATGATGATCCCGACGTCTTCCCCGTGAGTGGCAGCCATGCTGAGCTCAGCCTGGCTCTCCTGTGTCCTGGATCCCACCGCTGCCTTCAGCTGGGGAGGGGGGCAACGGCACCCGCGTGGGCTCAGCACAGTGCTGCGGTCGGGTTGGGTGTAGCAGGAGGTGTGGGGTACCCTGGGCTTGCGCTGCAGCCAGGAGGGTTTGGGGAAAGGGACTGAACCTGGTGCTCAGGCTGCACCTCCACCACCCGTGGGGCTGCTGCACAGTGCAAGGCAGAGGTGCCCAGGAGGGGCCCGCCCCAAGATGAGGAGCACAGACCTGCAGCCCCTCCGAGGTCTCTGCGTGCTCCGGAGGGGGCAAGGAGGGAGGGCTGGGTGCTGCTCTTCTCCCCACTGCTGGAGCTGCGAGGCCAAGATGCACCTTCTGTTTCTTGGAACCCCCTGACCTGTGCTCGCCGAGGCAGAAACTGGATGACTTTGACGTGCGCCAGCTCTATGACTGCAACTGGATCGTTGTGAACTGTTCTACTCCGGCCAACTTCTTCCATGTCCTCCGGCGCCAGATCCTCCTGCCCTTCCGCAAACCGGTCAGTGCTGGCGGCCCCATGTCCCTGCCCAGTGCGGGGGCAGGTTTGGGACGGGCTTGTTCTTCCACCCCAAGGTGCAGCAAACATGGGCAGTTTGCCTCTGTCCGGGCCAAGGACCTCCTGGTGCTCAGGGCTGGCTCGGTACATGGCATGCAGCCAGCCAGCTTG